AATATATGCAGTGTATTATTTGTTGAAACTGTACTTCCGATTTGATTTGAAACTGTCTCATTGCTATCTGTTTATCAATAAAACTTTGAAAAAAAAACTACCTTTGCTTTCACAGGTATAAAAGGTTTTATTCCTTCTGATTCTTATTACAAAAAACCTCTTAACTGACCTATGAAAAGTTCCAACTAGTATATTTATAGCTACAAACCTAAGAACTGCAATAAGGTTACTGTAATTCAACTTGCCAAATACATCTGAGTGCATTCTGGTCTATTATTTTGTTTAGTCTACTAACAATTGTCTTACATTTTCCTGTCCTCTATCTGTTAAATTTGTGGCCTGTTGCAACATCTGCAGCAATTTTGTTTGAGCACAATTTTTTCTTCTTTTTGCTTGCTATTTTGATTTTTTAAATATTTAAGTCTACAATTTAAGTTGGCTTGTAGATAAGTGTCATTAGAGTTGAAGACATGCTTCTACCCCAGCTGACTAAAATTACGTAAAGACTAATTTTACAAATGTTTTCATGTTATAATCTGTGTACAATAACTTGAGAGTCTTTCACTGATCAAGAACAATGTGTTGTTATGATCCTGTTCTAATAGGTCATGTAAAAACTTTAAGATAATTAAATGGGGATCTGTTATACGTAGCAAAGCTGTGGAATGAGATTATTCTTGATGAATAAAGGAGCAGCTGCCTGGAAACATTTATTCCAGTCTTTATTGACTATTGGGACCTCAATAATTTCCATACCCCTATGGGAGACACACACCAATAAATGTTGGTAAACATATTATTGTAATATGTTTACACTGGTTATGATGAAAGGTTAAGTTTTCTGTGGGTAAAACAAGATTTTCTTATTAAAAGATGCTCCCAGTACAAAACTAAATTAAGAGATGAAAGGTTCAATATAGCTGTGACACCCATGATGGTTAATTTCATGGATATTAAATGTGTTCATGCCTCCCAGAGGTACAGGTATTGTAAGACATAAAAATAGAATAGTTTATGGTGATGCTTCCTTTCAGACTCAGATATCTGGCTTTCTCTTGTGTTCCAGCCAGTTATGACTGGGTACATGTCCAGCTAGATTGAGACCATCAGTCAAATGATAGTTTTTATAAATAAAGCTTATGTGATGTGCATGTAAAAAAATAAAAAAATAAAGTCATCTGTCTCATGCTTAATGAAGTCATGACTCAAAAGTTGCAGATGGCCTTCAGACCCAGAAAAACCTCAGAACGGTCACAGACAGTTCGAGGGCAACAGTAAAGTCCACATTGCCTTTTGGAACTGGTCAGGACTTGTATTTCCTCACTTTTCAAATGTCCCTGGGTCCCTCACTCTTACCAACACCATACCCTTATATGCTATCATGGCTTATAGCTGGATATTCCCTCCCAAAGCCTCAAGCACTCATGGGTGGGGGTTTTGGGACATGACTGCACCACAGAGGCGTGACACTGATTAGGGAATTAGTCCACTGCTAATTTTGACTTGGGAGCTAAAGCCTGGTCAGAGGTGGGTCCCTGGGGAGACCGCCTGGATAGGTCTACCTCCCTCTTCTCCCTTTAATGTTTCCCACTGCCCTGCTGTGAGGAATTTCTCCTCTGCCATGCTGCCTGCTTGGAGCCATGGGACTGTGCACTGAATCCTCTAAAAAGAGCCAAATCAGACTTTACCTCCTATAAATTGGGAGTGTAGGGTTGTCCCGGTGAAGAGGTCACCAAGACACACACCTCTCAGCCATCATGGTCACACGAAGGGGCACTAGGCCCTGCTGTGTGAAGTGACAGGAAGGCCAACCTGGCTTATCTATGTACTCTGTGGCAATGCAAATGTTTCCTGCCTGTGCTTCAACTTAGCCCACAGCTTTGCCTGCTATACAGCAGAGACTAACAAGTACAGAGCCTGGCGATTCTTTTCTTAATCCTTATTCTCTATTCTTAGCTAAATTATGAACCTTTCATTGTCATTTTCATAAATGTCTATGGAAGGGGAGAAAAAAAGGGACTCAGACAATCTCGGCTTCTTGCTTGGTCATGTTTATTATGCGCGTTAAGAGACCTCCACTAGTCTTGTTACAGCGCGGTTATCTTTTGGGGAAGAGTGGAGTTTTAGAAAACTGTGGAAAAGGAACACATAGTAAAGGCTGTGTGCTCCTTATTGTGTCAAACACGGGTCATGAGAATGGAAGACACGGAACAGGCCGGGAAGGCAGGGAAGTTCCAGCCCTGCAACAGGGCCATCAGGTGTTTCATGGAGGAAGCAGTCTGCTGGGCCATGGCAGCCATGTTTCTTTCGGTGGCTGTGGTGCTGTTCCATGGGGCTCGCAGATCTGAGCAAGGGCCCCAAGTGAATGCTACTCATGTTCTCTCTTGGTCTCTTTTGACTTCTGCAAGAGCCTCCCCTGGGCAGCCTGGTCCACTCATGCCTAGTGAGTCAGCCCATAGCGCAACACGTGCTGAGTTTACCAAGGCCCTAGTATGTCAAGGCCAGGCTACCAGGCAGCATCAGTGCTGGGTGCTGTCACCACCTTTGCTGCCTATAAAGCTAGGCTCCACCTGCATATCTCTGGCAGGCAGGATCCTCCTGGGCCCAGCGGAACAGCTAGAGTTCCTATGTAGACCCACAGGCCCCTGCCTGCTGCTTGCATTGCTCTGTTGTCCCTGGACACTTCACAAACATGCTGGCATCATGTCACTATCAGTTCTCAACCTGGCTGGTCCCGGTGTGCCAGGGATCCTCCTCCTTGTGCCATCCCAGTGCCCTCCTCCAACCCTCACAGAATAAAGCAAGGAGTAATGGCCAGGCCGTTGTGCAAGACCAGAGGGCAAAAACCCACTGGAACAGAGCAAGGCATCCAAAGCTCAGAGGACTCTTCTAACGGCTGACAGACCTGCTTGAGTAGCTGAGGAGTGTGGCAGGAACAGGCACCTCTACAGGACACTGTCAGAGGCCATGAAGCTATGCTGTGCCACCATGGGCAGGCACCAAAGTCCTTTTCTGGGCACACATGGTGCATCCATAAGCTTCTGGGCAGACAGCACACAGCCAAAAGGACCTAGTGACAGCATGCCTGACCAGTCAGTGTGTTCCTGGGAACCCACTCCCTCTTGCCTCTATTTTACTTCATTTAAATATTAGCTAATCCTGGTATCCTCGGAGTGGAGAAGCCTCTGAGTGGTGCCATGAGGGAAGAGACAAAGGGGACCACAGGGGGAGTAAATTGTGAGAAGTAAAAAGAGTGACAACTAAAGAGACAAGCAGGGAGTCTTCGGGGTGCCCAGCTGCTGTGGAGACAGCACTGGCACTACACAGACAACCAGCCACTCCTTTCCCACTGCTGGAGGGGCTCTGGTATCCTCCCGCGGACTCTTCAGGCAGCAGTCATGCTGCAGACTGTGACTGTGCACTCATCTTAACAACAAACTCTCAGCGAACAACTTGGTGGCAGAGACATTTGGGAGGAGTCTCCTTTGCCAGGTGAATGGTATGCAAAGGCAAGACGGTGGTCTCCTGTCCAGGAGGGTATGGATTCTCTGGAACTGCCTGCAACACAATGGCGTAAGGTACAACTAATCTCTTTTTCTATTAAAAAGCTGGCAAGGCCAGACCATGAGTCTATTTAAGTCAGAGATGTTCCAGGGTGCAAGGTAGCCAGCACTGTCAAAGCAGGGTGACACCCTGATTCTCAGGTTGGCTGCTCCTTCGCCTTTCTGGTGTAGCCAAGCTGTCCACTGCTGCATTCTGGGATGCTGGGCTCAGGTGTCCGCTGTGTTTACCTCTTTGGAACAGAAGTAGTGCACGACCACTCCATTGGGGTATCTTGCGAATGCACTGCAGGGAGGGAAAAGACTCAAGAGTGAGCATGGATTGCATAGACTGCTCCCACAGGGCCTTTGCACCCAGGAATCACCACAGAAGTAGTCCACCCTGACCCCAAGGGACAGATGCCCCAAGGGCCTGTAGGTTCCTGGTAACCATCCCTGGTAAGGAACTGAACAGAGGATGAGCTGCACAAAGTTCAAGCGTGGGAGGGTATTTCTGTCATTTTTTTTTCACCTAGTACGATTCCAGTACTCTAGGGGTACTCTATGCTAAGCTGTATTCCCAGGATTTTTTTTTTTTTTTTCCTACTGGGAATCGAACTCAAGACCTTGTGCTTGCCAGGCAGGCACTTGTGCCACTGAGCTATTTCCCCAACCTCTCTCAAGCTTTTTTAAAGTTTTTAATTTTTTAAATAATTTCTAAAATTTTGAGATAGGTTTTACTACATAGCCCAGGTAGGATATGCCTTGGGAGGGAATACTTCTTATTAAATAATCAGTGTAGCCTGGGGATATAGCCCAGTGATAGAGTGCTTGCCTAGCATGCATAAGGCCTGGGTCTAATCCCCAACATCACACACACACACACACACACACACACACACACACACACACTCAGTCCTGGCTCACTGGAGGGTCATAATGCTCAAGACAATAAGCTTCAGGCTAATTCAACCAAAGGACAGTGGGTTACACCTTTGAAAAGGAAGGAGTCTTCTAGCCATACAAAAAGGGATGAGTCAGTCCTTTAAGGGGCAGAGGCTGGCTGCAACATGTCTTAGCACTATAAGATGCCAGCTCAGGAGCTTGTTCCAGGTCTGAGACCTCAGGCTAAAAGATCTCTTGTATCCCTTCAGACTCATCTTTAAAAAATAAGGACTGTCTGCCCACAAATGTCTCTTTCACACACCAGCTACATCATTATTCCTAACTGCTACAAGGGTAGATCTCTGAGTAAGAGATAGATCTCTGAGTAAGAATTCAAGAGCTCCAGGCCACACATGCCATGTATTTCAATTCTCAAGGTGCACTGCCGACAGATGGTCTGCCCTCTGCATGCTCAAGCAGCAGAGGTAGTCAGGACAGCAGCTGCGCCTTCCCCTGGGTGCCCCAAGCACTGCCTGACCCTGGAGAGCACCCTTCACACTCAGAAGCCTCGGGCCAAGGTAACTCACCTGTTCCCGATCTTCTTCTTGCACACCATGCACACCTTTTCCTCTGTGATGATGCACTTCACCTGCTGGTGCAGAATCCGCTCTTCCTGCACCTGGAAGATAGTTTGGGGGAGAAGCTCCATGCCTGAGCGGACAACAGAAGGCAGAGGTCAGCAGCGCTTCCCCTCAGGTCCAGGTTCTCCGTGTTGGAACACCTCCACTTAAATGTCATGCTGGCTGCTGGGTCAGCCTGTGCCACACTGATGGGGTATGTAAAGCTCTGCCTTGCTGGGAATGGCCCGTGTGGAAACTGTCATACCATGAAATAAAGCCACCCTGGAGTCTGGAAGGCCCATACCCTCAGGAACTCAGCATGGAGGAGGTTCTTGAGCACTTGATTAAACCGTTTCTTTTGTGCATTTTCTTCCAACACCCTTTCCAGAAAGATGCGGATGTCATTGATCTGAGTGTTTGCTGGGAGAAGGTTGATGGCCTAGGGGTAGGAACAGAAGTGGGGATGGGCTGAGGCAGCATAGGAGTGAGACTTGGAAAACACTGGAGGCCAAGTGCTCTCAGGCTTTGGTCCCTCTTTCCACCCCTCTTCTCATCCAGTGTCCCCCAGTCTCCTGAGGCCCTCTGCCTGACCTTGGTGGTGTCCAGCTTGCTATGGTGCAGCTCAAGGACCTGCAAGGCAGCCTGGAGGTTGGCTTGTGGTTCCAACAGCTCCAACTTCATTGGCCCAAGGCAGTGAATACTGGGGGGCGACAGGTACATCCGAAGCAGCGATAGATACACCTGTCTCACACAGACACAAGTCACACACATCAGGGGACAGGAACCTGGCCAGACTGAATGCGCCTGAAGATTAGGGCAGTTGGTCTACAGCAATAGGACTTGGAGAACATTCAAAATTCATCATTTCCACCTCCTAAAATTTCACTGAAGTTATACAGCCAAGTGAGGGTGTTAAAGACTGCTTTTTCTCTTTTTCTGCTTTGTGTCTTTCTAACTTTATCACATTTATAAAATGCTAATATTGCAAAATAAGTGAAAAAGATGGCTCATTCTCTTTGACTTCGGAAGCTGAGACCCTGGCCATCCCTTGGCAGGCAGGGATAATTCCTAAATGGAATACGCTTCTTACTGGTTCCAACAGCAGTGCCATCTGTTTCTCCACCTCGGTACTTAACGTCTGCGGCCAGGTAATTCCTCGTGTTTGGGACTGTCCACGCACATTGGTCAGCAACTCCTTTGGGCTCTAGTGCCTGGATTTTAGCAGCATCCCCGTCCCAAGTCACGACAATCACAAATGTCTGAAGACACTGACAAACATCTGAGGGACATATGTTCTTTCTCAATTGGCTGATCACATAAATGTTTGAGAAAGATTCTTACTGCCTAGGTCAGGGTGGCCTTGAACTCAAGGTGCAACTTTAGTCTCAGCCTCCAGAGTGTTGGGATTATAGGCCTGCACCACCATGCCTAGCTAAAAAAATTTTTTGGAGACAAGGTATTGCTTCTCACTATGTAGTTCAGACTGGCCTTGAACTTACTATTAGCCCAGGCTGACCCTGAACTTGCAAAGATATCCCTGCCTCTGCCTCCCAAGTGCTAGGATTATAGGCATGTGCCTGGTCCACATAAGTTATTATACAAATCTTAAAGAGTAAAGGAAAAGGGGTGCTATTAATAATCACATGGGTGACAATATATATAAGCCAGAATTACCTGTGACAAGAGATATAAGCCAGAACTACCCCAAGCAAACCAGGATAGATGGTCTCCCTGTCTCTTCCTCAAATATATGCAAAACTCAAAGGCACTGCCCTATACCCTGTGCAATCTAAGGACACACTGATGGGATGAAGTCTGCCTAAACGACAAGAAAGGCACACATGCTCTCTGGGCCAGGGCCACTACTCACTCACATCTTTGTTGCCGTCTTTGCTTTGGTCATAATGTTTGTGGCAGTACCTGCAAGGAAAAAAGTGGTGAGTGCAGGTGAGGGGCTAGAGCAGGGTAAAAGACTCCAAGAGCCACCTGAACATCTTAAGATGGCCGAGACCAGGGTGGGTGTGGAAGACAGGTAGGTGTACAGTGTGAAGAAGGCTGTAGCAGTGTGGGGAGCTGCAGGGAGACACCTCGAGTCAAGCTGACTTACTCCTCCGCCATCCTTGTGTCCTTCAAGACATGGACATAGATGAAAAGAGCTTGCTCATGCTTCCCCATGCGCCCCAGCAGGAGTGCTCGCTCTTCTAGGAGGCCTAGGAGGAAGAAAGAAAGGAGTCACTGGCACCAGCACCATGAGGTGGGGGACTGAACACTGGGGCAGGGTGCAGGCTTAGTGGTGCAGACAAACTTAGCACAGGCAAGGTCCTGGCCTCAATCCGCGGCACCAGAATAATAAAAATAACAAAATAAAATGGAAGTAAATGACTACATTTTTTATAGGAGGGAGGCAGCTATTTTAGGAGATATATAGTCCACCTTTTTAAAATTACTTTTAAATGGTAACAACATTAATAGCAAGACCTACAGGGCTGGGGAGATGGCTCAGTAGAATAAGTGCTTGCCTGGCAAGTGCAAGGTCCTGAGTTCAATCCCCAGTGCGGGTGCAGATCTATGAAGTTTT